TTTATTTTTTATCGTAAATAGTTTTTGATTATTAATTTAATTTTATGTGTATATGGTGTTCATATATCACTATAATTATTGTACATGTGACAGATTGTTATATTTCTAAATAAATAAAAAATAAAAAAGAACATGTAATAATTTATTTAAGGAATTAATAACTAAACAAGGTATCAGACAAGGGTTAAGATACTCCTACATGTGCTAATAAGCACCCTATGAAGAGGTATTGAAATATACGAGAGGATGCAGAAAGAGAGTTGGATACTGCAAACTTGAAAGCGAAAGTCCAAGACAAGAATATTAATTCATAATAGTAAAATTTAGTAAAAGAACTTAGTAGAAACAGTAACTGTTTCAAAGTTCTCAGCAACTAACCATAGAGATAAACCGAATTGTCCAAGTCTTACCAATAAGAGTAACTTTTCTTCCTCAAAATTATAGGTAAGAATCCGCATCACATATGAAATAGTAACCTGACCCTATAAACGAACAGGAAGTCGGATAAATAAACCTGATTCCTGGTATGATGAATCAATGGCCGTCGCATGATGATACCTGATTGATTATTTATATCAACTCGCGGTTCAAGTCCTAACGAAATCCTCATCTTCGTCATGGAATCATTTATTAAAGGCGAGCGTCGGAGCTCGTTTTAAGAGAGCATCATGAATATAAAATTGACAGTTGGGAAAGTGAGAAACCAACAATGAGCTACGATACTCTTGAAGCTTTAACTGATCGTGGTTATATTTAGAATGTCTGAAAATTGTAGACGATTACCGATCGATAATTCATTAAAACCAATGGTAACAAGTTAAGATACCAAGAACTACCATTACATCTGTATCTACCGCTTTAACTTTTAATAATAGTCTTCAAATACCAGTAAATAACTAACCAATCAACATTTCGACAATTCAGGTATCATTAGGACAGAAAAAGATTTATGAAAAATTTAAATCTAACCTAACAGAGGTACAGGGGCGGGGAGGCAGAGCTCGTTAACACGTTGCCTTGGCAATCAGATCATAAACCAAATATCATGATTTCAAATCCAAGATGGCCGGTGGGACTTTTAAATCGGCATAATTCCCTGGGCCCTTTCCTCTGGTCCGTGAAAACAGTTAGCTGCTGAAATGGGGACGATTTTTGGGATATAGATATTGAATTAGATATAAATTCGGAGTTCAATAACAAATGAATTGAACAAAAACATAACAACAACACAAATTAGTCTACAAAGCGTTATCCAAACATTTTAAAACTTATAAAGGAAATAGATAGGCCAAATAGTGGCAAAACTATTTTATTGAAAGCCGACGTTTCGACCCGACTTTGCAGGTCTTCTTCAGGGAAGGGTATTCAGCTAGGAGTTTCACTTAGAACTACAGTTTGTTCTAAGTGAAACTCCTAGCTGAATAAGTCTCCCTGAAGAAGACCTGCACGGTCGAAACGTTGGCTTTTAATAAAATAGTTTTGCCATTATTTAGCCTATTTATGACCGCCACCCCGGACTATCTCCTTTCTTTATAATGTAACGGTCAACTATTCAATATTCAATTTTAAAATTTATAATGAACGTAATAATATATGTTTAGCATTGTATAATTTATGGTTGATAAATAGACAAGACGTAGTCATTTTAAATTTTTTATTTATTTTTGTTATATAATATATTTTTTTTAAACTTTAAAATGAATGCGTCCTGAATATTTACCCATGATGTATAGAATAGTCGACCAACTTCCTATCATTATATTTTTAAAACACACATATTATATATATTTGTGGTTATACTATGTGAAATCTCATTACATTTTTTTCGAAAAGAATATTTAATACCTAACAATATTTTTTAGTAATTCAGTTAGAACCACAGGCGGATCTAGAGTGGGGGGAGGAGTGGGTTTACGGGCTGAACCTTCTCTCCCTCCCTCCTCCTCCCTCCAAAATGGTAATATATAACCATGTTTCATGAAAAAAATATCTCTAAAAGAATTATTGTTCGTCTAATTACATTTAATAGGACTTAAAGAATCACTAAAACACCGTTTTATATAGGCATAGTTAGTTTTTTTCTTTCTTCCGAAGTAATTATCCTAATATATAAAAATAAAAAATGGTTTTAAACCCCCCAAAAATATAATCCTGGATCCGTTAGTGGTTAGAACTATTTAAATTAATTCTCTGTGGAACATAAAATATAGGATTTATTAAATTAAACCTGATTGGGTTGTATACTCCAAAAATATGATTACGATAACATTGAACACACACATAACATAGAAGATACAGAGATTTACTTTTAAATGATACATTTCATTCAAGAACAAAGTTTTAAAATTTATTTTATACAATTTTTTATTCCGTATTTTACAACTATTTTAAAAATATATTTATACAATTGTATGTTAAAAGTAAATTATATAATACTAAACATATATCATTACGTTCATATAAATTTTAAAATGTTTTAGATATCGCTTTTTAGGCTAATCTGTATTTGTTGTTGTGATTTTTTTTTCTATTCATTTGTTAATTGATATCTCGAAAATAAGAACAAAATTTTATTATTGATTATTTATATTTTAATAAATATTGTTTAAATTGTTTAATAAATATTGTTGTTAGTAAATATTGTTATTTATATTTTAATAAATATTGTTGATTATTCATATTTTAATAAAGCTAATTATGAATGGACTGCCTTACCCTCATCTCCCAGCAGAGAGCCATACACTAAATAAAGTGAGTCCATTGAAACTTGATAATTGCGGTCAAGGTTGGTCTGGATCAGTTTTTAAAATTAATTGTTTGTCACTTATGCGATGACATAATCCAATCCGTTATTTTCTATACATTGATTCTCGAATGACACGGTAAAAGGAATACAGTAGTTTCATACTTTATATTAAATCTATATTTACCTATCCTACGGTAGTAGGATAGGTGGCGAAACTACTATATACGGCAAAAAGAAAATGTCGAGAGAAGCGACAAAAATTGGACAGGATCTATAAAAAATTGGATATATAGTTCCAGGTGCTGATGAGTGTGCTGCGCATTTGAGGCCATTGGTTGAATATACGATCAGTAGCATACATGCACCAATGGAAGGAAAAGAGATTAAGGATGATTTATACGAAGATTATACGATTTATACGTTAAAAAAATAGTGAGGATCAGGCTGCAAATGTGACATAGTATTATGAGAGACTTCAATGCCAAGATAAGTCGAAAGTCCTGATATAGGACCATTGCCGGAGACCAGAATCTCCTCGAAACTAGCTGTGAGAATGAAGTGAAATATATCAGAATAGAAGCAACCAAGAGTCTAGTGGTCAGTAGTACGAGGTCCCCCAACAGGACACTAAGCCTGGGTAAGCCCTAGACGTGCGAAAATCCAAATCGACCAAATGCAGATAAATAAGAGGCATCAAAACTTCGCGTAAGACATAATAAGCTATTGCGTAGCAGACTAAGATTCGAACCACAATCTGTTTAAAATCGAACTATGTCAAAGGCTAAAGCGCATCCATCGAATAGGAGACGAAGTGGAAAGAAAGATGTATGAAGTTCGTAATTTGAAAAAAAATAACCTAAAGTGCAGACTGAATTCCAAATTGAGCTGAAAAATAAATTTCAACCAGTGGACTTGGAATGCGTGGACCACATTTGGAGGCACTAAATTGAGAGATAATATACAGCTATTGAAGTAATACAGTACAAAGGATAATACAATGAGAGATCCAGAACAAAATATAACCTAACAAGTTGTTAACAGAAGAATACGAAAAGAAGCTGGTGTAGAGGAGAAAAGTGAGAAAAAGATTTTCAACTCACAACAATGGAAGTATCATTCAACAGCATTGTTTTAATTCTGTTGAATATGTCAAGTTTTGTACTTACAAACTACGGACAATATTAGTTTTCTGTTATGATGCAAGGTACTTGATTCCTTTTAAGTTCGAACAGTTTTGATTACAATTACTGTCAAACTTAGTACTAGAAAAATTGATAAGAACATCAGGCTTATTTATTTATTCATTTTCTATTAAATTTGCCACTGCGTTGTAACGCATCAAGCAAATGTGTTAGAGTTATAATAAATGTATCTATCTTATGTATTCTTGATATTTTCTTAACTTGTCAGCAGAAGATCTCTACGCTACTGCCTTTTTAGGCGTCGTTGAGGGTCACCAGGTAACAGGGAGCAAGATAAAGATAGAACGAGTGGATTTGGATGATTGAGAATAGAAGAATGAAATGTTGTGTATGTAGGATTTTACTTTTGGTATGTTTATGTCTGTGTGTATGGTGTGATTTGAAATAAACCAAGGAGCATTGAAGATTTTACGAAGTATTTTGGATTGTGTTGTTTGAATTTTGTTTATGTGTTTTTTGCGAAACCCCAAAGTTCTGCTCCGTATGTCCAAATAGGTCTTAGTATGATGGTGTAGATTAGTCGCTTGTTTAGTAAGTTGAGTGGAGATCTGTAGTCCAAAATATATGACAGTTGTTTTTATCGTCTGGTCAGTTCTTGTTTTTTTTTAATTTAGTATGAATGTTCCAGGTGAGTTTTTTGTCCAAGTATAGTCCGAGATACCGTAAGGCTTAAATAATTATTCTGTTACATTGTTTTACGATCTAAAGTAACCTGTTTAATAAAAAGTAATAGGTCAAAATAAGTAATTCCGAGACTTGCGAAACTCTTGCTGCAAGACTGATAGCAAGACCAAGATTGAGTGTGCGAAACCAAGTCTAGGTTTGTTGATTCAAAATCAAGAATAAGATTGGCTAAGTCTCGTCTTGGTCTTACATTTTGGCAACACTAGTTATTATTATTTTAGTTTTCTTTTCCTAGTGCTCACCAACCACCCAGAATAGGTACTTGGAGTGGTAGGTCAGTAGGTACTTGGAGTAGTAGATCATGAGGTACTTGGAGTGGTAGATCAGAAGGTACTTCTCATTAACTTGCCTGTTGATATTTGGTACAGGTAGAGGTGGAGACTGGGCGGGAGCTGACCTACGGGCACCTGGCCAGGCAGAGCCTCTCTGTGGTCCAGGGGCTGCTTCGAGAGGGCGTCGGTGAGGGCAGCACCGTGGCCATCGTCAGCTTCAACAGCCAGGAGGCCCACGTCATTTTCCTCGCCTGCATCCTCATCGGGGCCACTGCAGCCCCCCTCGACCCATCTCTCTTGCCAGGTAATATAATATATATATATATATATATATATATATATATATATATATATATGTATATATATATATGTGTGTGTGTGTATATATAGTAGTTATATATAGTATATATATAACTGTATATATATCATACTTTAAGGGTCTTTTACCAGCTGCGTGAATATTTTTTTTTTATTATTATTTCTTAATGATATTTACAACTGTATTAAAGAAATACATCTAGTAAATTTCAACATATGGATATAATAACGTGAAAACCCTTGCTGAGCAACTACCCAATGGTAGTCACTCTAATCATATGTCTACATTAGGAGATCACAGAGCCATCTTCTTTTCGGACACCTCGGAGGGTTATCAGGAATTGAAGAGGAGGCAAGGTTAGAAACGAGAGGGTTGGGATGATTCTGAAGTTTATTATGGAAGAATAGGTATCTGGACTGGACCAGATGTGAAACATAAGAAACATTATGGATGGTTTTATTTGTAACAAAGTAGGGAGCATTGAGGATTTTACGAAGGATTTTGGATTGTAAGGATTGGATACGAGAGGAATTCGATGGTTTACTAGAGCCCCATAGCTCAACTCCGTAAGTCCAAATAGGCCTTATTATAGTCATGTATATGAGTCTTTTGTAATTAATTGAAAGTTTAGAGCGTTTGTTTAGTAAGCGCTGAAGTAATCTGAAACTTCGAGCGGTTTCTTGTCGTTTCAGTCTGGTATTGTGTAAATATAAAAACGGAATTCATCCATAGATACCTCTAGTTATTGAATATTGGCATCATTTTGTTTCATCGACAACTGACAAAGATTTTCAACTCACATCATTCAACAGCATTGTTTTAATTCTCTTGAATATGTCGAGTTTCCTAGTTACAAACTACGGACAGCATTACTTTTCGCTATTACTATGAATGTAATTAAGGATTGAGATTTATAATTATTATATTATGCAATTGGAATAGAATAGAAAATAATTTTATTCTGGGACGAAGTCCCTTTAGAATAACAAAAAAGTACATATAAAGTATTATATCTGGTCTAAGTAAAAACAAACATAAAAAGTAAACATAAAGAGAACAAAGTAAAGCAAATATTAGTTAAACATACTATGTACAAAATAAAAAAAATCTATATACAAAATACTTGAAACCATGACACTTAAAATTACGTACAGTAATAAAACAGAAGTATACACTTTTAAAAAAATAAATAAAAAATATATTACATTCTTCTTAGCAATAAACTCTGTGTTGCTGCAGAAAAAAATAAAGAAAAAGTAGACGAATCTGATAGTAAGTATTTAAGTGATGAATTATATGTAAATATATCATTATGTGAATCATTTTGAATAATATGTGAATTTACATAAAAGATTAGCGGGGGGTATCTGACTGTTTTTTGCGATATAAATTGAAACAGGAGGGTTTTGAATGTAGATAGGGAAGGTGAATAAACAGAGCGAGCAATAAACGAGTTTTGGAACGAGCAGATCTGTAAGAAGGAATGTAAAGGTCGGAAGGTCGAGATCTTGTGAAAAGGGAGTGGACTGAGGACTTGAATTGGAGAAGGTTGTAGGCGTAAGAAGGACGATGATTGTTGATGATTTGATAGAGGAATGCACTAAGGAAATATTGTCTTCGAATGGAGGGGAAGAGCCAATATAACTTGTAGTTTAGTGGTGAGACAGTTTTCTGCTATAATTTAAAGAAAACTGCTGCATGATCGAATTGAATGCTTGTCGAAGCTTACAGTGAGCATGCTGTCGGTAAATAATAATACTTGAGTAGTTTAAAAACATTCAAAAGTGGCTAGAGAATGTGTGGAATAGAGAAATGTCGAAAAACTCAACACCAACCCGCGGATAAATTCAATGTAGCAGGAGAAGCTGTCTCGTGTGTCCAGGGGCCATTGGAAAGATAAAGATAACAAACGTGTTCCATATGATTCGAATGAAAGACACCAATAAACAGCAAAACAACCCCCGAAATATTGCTCGTCAGATACAGAAGAAAATCATTCTTTTATAAAATTGTGAAAAAAAGTTATATTTTGAAAATCCTAAGCTATAAAGATCATCAACATCGATTGAAAGGCCAAATCGCTATGGCAAGAAGACAGCGTATTGTGTTTGGTGGAAACATAAGGGGGTGATCTATTATTAACTGCTAAACCACGGCGGAACTGTTAATAATAAACGCTATCGAAAATAAATTATTTGAGTCAAGTATTGCGTGAAAACGAGCAGAACATTAAAAAAGACTACGCTAAGTGATTTTACAATGATAAAATACCACCTAACACAACAAATCAGTTAAGGAAAATATGAGACGCACAGTTGATAAATATTATCGCACGCGGCTAGCTCATCAGACATGATACCATCCGACTATTTATTTGCGCCGCTATAGCACGCAATTGCAATGCAGCGCTTCACTTCTTATAAAAATGTACGAAAATGGCGACGCTTCATTTCTTATAAAAATGGATCGATGACTAGTTCGACACAAATGAGCAACAATTTTTCAGCCATGGCATTCATAAATTGCCAGAGAGATGGGAAAAAGTTAACCTAGCGATGTGTGTTATTTCGAACGAACCTCATATTAGGATCATAATTGTGGGTTACTGTTTGGTTGACTGTCGTGAATAATGGAGAAAAGATTGGTTAGGTTGATAAGTCAGAAATAAGAAGGAAAAAAATAATTATTATATTTATTTTAACATTTGCCGACGTTGCGAACTTCACTTCAGGCCTTCATCAGGGCTAAGAAAAGAACCAATTAAAGTAAAAAAAATAAAATACAATGAAGTGGGTAGAATAATGACAACAGTAAGAACTAAGAGATAAATAATAATAACCGTTACGAAGTGTGGAATGATGAAGTAAACATAATCAAAAAAGGTGACATAAGTATTAAAATGGTAATCTTAGAATAAAATGTAAAACAGAAAAAAGGAATATGAAGTTATATAAGAAATGAAAATAAACAGTAAAATTAATATATTGCAAATAGAATAATAGTAGAATCCTCATATTAGGTTTTACGGTGAAGAGAAATCTTTCCCGAGAGTAGTCAAATTGTAATACATCATAAGTTTCAAAATAACCTTAATGAATGACCAACGGTCGGAAGCAGACCAGTGTATATATAACAAACGCAACCTTTATTATTTTTTTCAAAGTTAAAAATTTCAAATGAAGAATGTACTATGCTATGAAAAATCCAGTTCTGATACACGACTGCCAGGCCTAAACACTAACCATAGAAAAAAGTATTGAAAGATTTGAGAGGAAAACCCTCCGTACGATAACTAAAATCGAAGTACTTACACATGAAGGAGAAAGACCAATAAAAAGCTGCTTATAGAAACAAGTCAATCAATATCTCATGATATGAAGGTTAAGATGGGCCTTAACAATGGATGTCTCAATAGGCAAGAGAATACTTGAAAGGCGAGATGGATAGATCGAATCAACAAAGACGCAATACGCAATAAGATGGAGAAGGCTGATTAAGCAAAAAATCTGCAAGGTCAGTAATCCCAGCAGAAAAGAAAAATCTCCAATCTTTTAGCACGAATAAAAAACTCAAAGTTGTTAAACTTGTATTTTATATTTCAAATCTACAAATATTTCAATGCCTCTTGAGAATTAATAGGATATTTATACAGTGCATACACAGTAGCAAGAATGCCAAAAATATATTATAAAACCCCATAAAGTTTCCTTTGATTTTTTTTTTCCATTTCTTTATTTAGATATGTCACAAATTAACCTGACAAGGAAATATGCTGAAAAATAAAGATTCCGGCATTTCAGGAATAGGGAAGGCTAGAGTCTCCCGATTCACGAAAGAAGATCTCACTTCATCAGTTAAACATATTCGCAATCCGCTGGAGTGATAGAATTTCGACGTGGCGCGATGGAGTTTCAAGACGAATGAGACGAACTTCATCCTCTCCACATCACAGTACTTCACGCTCACGATTCATGTTGGCGTGTCTGTCTATCTAAAACGCCCTATTATTATACAACCAATATAAACTTCAATATACAAGCTTCAGGTTTTCAAGATCTAATCGGAACTCATGATTGGATCGTCTAATCCTCTCGTTCAATCACCCTTTTCAAATCGTATCTAATGAGCATTATTGATTGCTAGAACAGCACCAATTTGTTCTATAATGGTTCGAGTCAAATAATATGAACGCAGTTATTCAACTGTAGCAATTTACAATCGATTGGGGTAGGTCAGTTTTGTTTTGACAGCTATCCTCATCGATTTGAGTTCTAAAAAGAATATAATTAAATAAAATATTATACCTAAGGCAGCTTATTTACTGTTCAATGAGATTTTTTAATTTAAAAACCGACGAGTTTCTTATTTAGCCGTTGCGATGTTACAGTAATATGGCTGCAAGAAGAGCATCAATATTCAAACAAGGGAGATGACTTGGACATGTGATAATAAAATAAACTTTTAAACTGAATCCTTAAATGAAAATAACGTTTCAGTTATCTAAAAGAACGCTTCAAGCAATTTAAAAACATATTTGTGAGCATTTGACTGTGATTGGTTATTTTTACCGAACTATGGTGAATCAAGAAAATCGATTATTTTTTTATATTAGAGATCAATGTCAAATGGTTAATAATTTAAAAAAAAATTAAAGGTACTTTAGAGAAAGCTAATATTAAAAATTAACCATTTAAGCCCTTTTAGAGAACATAAATGAGAATAAAACCTACATAATATTAAAAACTGCTTTATTTTACACCGATATAATGAATTTAACCAAAATCTTTGGAGCCGTTTTCGAGAAAATAATAAAAATGTGTTTCATCGATGATATAAAGTGCCACTTCTGATTTTGACGAAAACGTTGCTATAACATCTCAGGTATATACAATATTTAAATATGCAATTTCACTTTCATACGACTTTTCGTTTTTGAGGTAGACCTGTCACATATATATATATACACAGATCTATGCACACACAGA